GACAGAACAAACAAACAAACAAGAAAAAATCCCCCCAAAACAAACTTACTAGCCCCGGACACGCATAACGCACAGTCCATTTGGCAGCTTAACTCGGTGACTAGCAATCGCTGACTGGTGGGGGTGGGGGTCAGAAAAGGGGACACTGTGAAATATGAAGATAGCAGATTTGGAAGTACGTGTTCCCAGGCACAAATAAAAGGGGAAGGAGAAGTAACACAGGTTACCAAATTATCCCACCAATTCCAGGTTGGCTAGGAAGATTGGATAGAGAGGAAGAGGGGAGGAGACAACGAGCAATATTTCCTTCGCATCGCATTTCCTTCGCATCATAATATGCTCTAGTCAATCTGTTAACAATGCATAACAGAAAGCGACATTGCAGTGTCTTTCCAAATTTCCTCTTCTTGAAACACAGCATGTATTTATTACATTGTTTGTCTGTAGTCCCCCTCGCTTGACTATCATGACTCATTATGTTGCACAATTTTAAAGTGAGTTATAGAAAAGGAGGAGAAGGAAGTAAAGACTGAGACTTAAACAATTAATGATGCCCTGGACTACTTCTATTAGGATTAGCTTTTAAACCTAGTAGTGGTACATTGAAATGGGCAGATTTGGTTTGTTAAAGGGCTGGGATACAAATGTGAAGGTTAATTCTAGAAAGTGTCTGTTAGGACAGAGAAACAGAAGATGAATTTATTTTTGGTTTGTTTATACATAACCTTGCAAGCAGAGGTTCTCAGAAACAGTAACTAATTCAGACAAAGCCTTTAAAATGGACATTTGATGAGTGATTGTAACATGCACTCAGAAGAGTGTCCAGAGTTGCCCCTGCCAACAGCTGTTTCAGCTGGCCGCAGAAGGTTTAACAACTTACAGGTTTCCAGTTCAGCCCTCCAAAATACAAAAAATCAGTCCGAATTTTTGTTTCTCTCCTAAATTGGTCTTGCACAAAATCCCTCAGTGAATCTGGTGAAATACTGCATTCTGCCCAAGGGTATTTGGACCTAATTATGTGAAACTTCACTAGCCCATGGGTGCAAGCAGGGGGATCTATAGCATTTCCTGTGAGTAGAACTGAGAGTGGAAAGAGAATGGATTTGTGCCTAAGGGAGTACAAACATATCTAGGTGTGAGAGAAACCAGGGAGGATAATGTGTGGGAAACTGGAAAAAAAAAAAAAAATAAAAGAAACAGAAAAGAGAGAGAATGAGAAAAATAAACAGTGACATTAAAAAGAGAGGGGGAAGGAGAAACAATAAAAAAGGTAACACAAAAAGCAGAGCATAAACAATCAGTAGGTAGCAAGAGATCCCAACATATTATGCATTTGTTTTGCAGCAAAATTCACAGAGTTTCCCCGAAATGTCACAGCCACAGAAGGGCAGAACGTGGAGATGTCTTGTGCTTTCCAAAGTGGCTCCACTTCAGTGTACCTCGAAATCCAGTGGTGGTTTCTGCGGGCAGCTGAGGACCAAGAGGCTGGAGCTGAGGTGACAGGCACTCAGGTACTAATCCTCTGCCATGGATTCCTCAAACCACCTGGAGAATGCCACAGAAGAGAGGAAAGGGGGGAAGGAAAGAAAGGGAGACCAGAAGAAAGGACCAGAGAGAGGTTCTGTGTCTCTCCAGGGACTTAGTTTTGACCATGAAATAACAATGCAGGAACCTGCAGACAAAAATGCCCACCTCAAGGGATGGTGCTTTTGGTGCCTGTCACTCCCAGAATGCAGCTAGGGATGCTCACAAAACCACGCAGATTTTTCAAAGTCTAATTTTTTTATTATTTTCCCCTCTGTTTCTTTTTTTCTTTTTTTTTTTTTTCTTTTCCTCTCTTAGATTTTCCCTTCGGAAAGCAGCTGTTCAAAGACTGCTCCTTGTGGGAATTTTTTATTTCCCAGGTGGCAAGATCCTACAAATGCCCTCCAGTTTACAGCTAGCACAGTCGAGTTGGCAGCCGTAGGTAGCTGCCACAGGAGGGCACACGCTTGGCAGGGGTGGGGAAAGCAGGAGGGAACAAATGCCCCAGAAGAAGCAAAAACCCCAAAATAACACAACTGTGCAATTTCATCCTTCCGAGCGGGACAGGAGGGGCCATGTCCACTTACACCGCTATCTGGGGCGCTCTTCCCCGCTTTCGCCTTCGCTGCCCGCTCCTCACCGGTCTCGGCGTTC